CAATCAATGATGTTGGCTTATTAAAGCCAGGAACAGCCAGGCGCGGTGGCTCATGCCGTAATCCCAGCACTTTGGGAGGCCAAGGTGGGTGGATCATGAGGTCAGGAGATCAAGACCATCCTGGCTAACATGGTGAAACCCCGTCTCTACTAAAAATACAAAAAATTAGCCGGGCCTGGTGGCGGGCGCCTGTAGTCCCAGCTACTCAGGAGGCTAAGGCAGGAGAATGGCTTGAACCCAGGAGGCGGAGCTTGCAGTGAGCAGAGATCACGCCACTGCACTCCAGCCTGGGCAACAGAGGAAGACTCTGTTTCAAAAAAAAAAAGCCAGGAACAGAGGTGTCACCTTGGATCCCTCCCATTGCCTTGCTTTACCCGCCCATGTCAATTCTACTTCCAAATAGATTTGATAAGGGTCCTCTTTCCTCCCTCTCCACCTGCTGCACCTTAGTCCAGACCATTCGCCACCTTTCGTCTTTGTACTGGTCCATCTCCCTGCCTTCTCGTTCCTCAGGTTTCATCTGGTATGTGGCCTCCTAAGAGAAGGCTTTTTTGCCCATCCCCATGACAGGAGATCCTCCTCTCTTGATCTCCGCCACAGCTTCCTCTTTTAGTTTTTCCCATATGAGCTTGCTTACTTTCTCTAATAATAACAACTAGCATTTATTGAGCACCTACTGTGTGCCAGATGCTGTTCTAAGCACACTGCATTATAGTGACTCATTTAGTGCTAATTTACCCAACTCTGTTGTATAATCCTATTTAAAATTTTAAAAAATTGTGAACCCGGGGGCGGAGCTTGCAGTGAGCTGAGATGGTGCCACTGCACTCCAGCCCAGGCGAGAGAGCGAGGCTCCGTCTCAAAAAAAAAAAAGAGAAATAAAAAAAAAATTTCTTTTTTTTTTTTTTTTTTTTTTTTTTTTTGAGACGGAGCCTCGCTCTGTCACCCAGGCTGGAGTGCAGTGGCCGGATCTCAGCTCACTGCAAGCTCCTCCTCTTGGATTCACGCCATTCTCCTGCCTCAGCCTCCCAAGTAACTGGGACTATAGGCGCCCGCCACCTCGCCCGGCTAGTTTTTTGTATTTTTTAGTAGAGACGGGGTTTCACCGTGTTAGCCAGGATGGTCTCGATCTCCTGACCTCGTGATCCGCCCGTCTCGGCCTCCCAAAGTGCTGGGATTACAGGCTTGAGCCACCGCGCCCAGCCAATTTCTCCCATTTAAAGTTAATTCCGGCCGGGCGCGGTGGCTCAAGCCTGTAATCCCAGCACTTTGGGAGGCCGAGACGGGTGGATCATGAGGTCAGAAGATCGAGACCATCCTGGCTAACACGGTGAAACCCCGTCTCTACTAAAAAAATACAAAAAACTAGCCGGGCGAGGTGGCGGGCGCCTGTAGTCCCAGCTACTAGGGAGGCTGAGGCAGGAGAATGGCGTGAACCCGGGAGGCAGGGCTTGCAGTGAGCTGAGATCCGGCCACTGCACTCCAGCCTGGGCGACAGAGCAAGACTCCGTCTCAAAAAAAAAAAAAAAAAAGAAAAAAAAAATAAAGTTAATTCCAAAGCTAAAGAAACTGGTTTAAAACTATCACCTCAGCTAGACTGTGGCCATTATGTGGGTAGGGATTTTGCTTGACTTGTTTATTTTTATATTATATATATATTATATATTTTATATATATATATTAGAAGGAGTCTCACTCTGTTGCTCAGGCTGGAGTGCAGTGGCACGATCACGGCTCAACTGCAACTTCTGCCTCCTAGGTTCAAGCAATTTTCCTGTCTCAGCCTCCTGAGTAGCTGGGACTACAGGTGCATGCCACTATGTCTGGCTAATTTTTGTATTTTTAGTAGAGATGGAGTTTTGCCATGTTGGCCAGGCTAGTCTCGAACTCCTGACCTCAGGTGATCCACCCACCTCAGTCTCCCAAAATGCTGGGATTACAGGCATGAGGCACTGCACTCAGGCTTATTATTTTTAAAAAAAATTTTTTAAAAGGAATCACTTCCTGGCTGGGAATTGAACCCAGACTACTGCAGTGAAAGAGCATAATTAGCTACTGGCCCACAGCATGGGACTCCCGGTCCTGTTTGTTGCTCATCCCAAGACACACAGCCTGGTCTACAGGAAGAATTCTACATATATTTGCTGAAGAGACAAAGAAGGATGTGGATGAATTGGATGTGGAGAATGAGAGGAAAGAAAATGTCAAGGATGGCTCTAGGTTTCTGGCTTATGCAACTTAGTGGTGTCATTGAGAGAGGTGAGCTGGTCTGCAGGGACTTGGAACAGGTTGACGAGTCTGGTTAGGAAAACAAGGAGTTAGGGAGTCAGTTCCTATGTTGTGCTGTGTTGGGAGCTCTGGGCTGGGTGGTGGGTCTAGATTTAGGTGTCATCAGCACACCAGTGGTAGGTTGGTTGAAAGTGATTGAGATCACCCAGGGAAGCTTGCTGAGTGAGAAGAGGAAGCCTAGGGCTGAGCCGTAAGCAAATGCCAACATCCAATGGGCAGCAAGAAGGACCCTGCAAAACAGTGTGAGATGAAGCAGGCAAAAAAGGGAAGTGAGAAACCAGAGCAGGTGACCTCCGAAAGCCGAGGAAAAAAGAGGGTACCATGTGGTATTTGCAAGCATTACAGGGTTGGAGCAAACTTTGTTTTCTTTCTTTTTTTTTTTTTTTTCCTTCTCTTTGGTCTGCATCATCTTGGCATGCACAATTTTTTTTTCTTTTTTTTTTTTTTTTGCGATGAAGTCTCACTCTTGTCCCCCAGGCTGGAGTACAATGGTGCGATCTCGGCTCACTGCAATCTCTGCCTCCTGGGTTCAAGCGATTCTCCTGCCTCAGCCTCCCGAGTAGCTGGGATTACAGGCACCTGCCACCACGCCCGGCTAATTTTTGTGTTTTTAGTCGAGAAGGGGTTTCACCATGTTGACCAGGTTGGTCTCGAACTCCCGACCTCAGGTGATCCGCCCGCCTCGGCCTCCCAAAGTGCTGGGATTACAGGCGTGAGCCACTGCACTCGGCCTTTTTTTCTTTTTTTGAGAGGGAGTCTTGCACTGTCGCCCAGGCTAGAGTGCGGTGGCATGATTTCAGCTCACTGCAACCTCTGCCTCCTAGCTTCAAGCGATTCTCCTGCCTCAGCCTCCCGAGTAGCTGGGATTGCAGGTGCATGCCACCACGCCCAGCTAATTTTTTTGTATGTTTAGTAGAGACAGGGTTTCACCGCGTTAGCCAGGATGGTCTCCATCTCCTGACCTCATGATCTGCCTGCCTCGGCTTCCCAAAGTGCTGGGATTACAGGTATGAGCCACTGAACCCGGCAGCAATTTTTTTTTTTTGGAGACAGAGTTTCATTCTGTCGCCCAGGCTGGAGTGCAGTGGAGCAGTCTTGGCTCACTGCAACCTCTGCCTCCCAGGTTCAAGCGATTCTCCTGTCTCAATCTCCCGAGTAGCTGGGACTACAGGCACGCGCCACCACACCCAGCTAATTTTTGTATTTTGAGTGGAGACAGGTTTTCACCATGTTGGTCAGACTGTTCTCTGAACTCCTGACCTCAAGTGATATGCCTGCCTTGGCCTCCCAAAGTGCTGAGATTATAGGTGTGAGCCACCACGCCTGGCCTGCATGCACAATATTTTAAAACGTGTTGAGTTTGTTGCCAAAAATTTAAAAAACGGGGTATTTCTTTTGAAATCTCCATTTCCAGTTTTTCTGGAAAAATCTGAAGATTGGCCATTCTGGGCCTGAATTCCTGCATACCAACAGCCAGGTGCAGTGACTCACAGCCATCCCATTACCTGAGGTGTGCATCTCCTATTTGCCTGAGTCCCTACCTCTTCCTATCCTATCCCTGCCACCAGAGGCCTAGCAGATATTATTCACCATCTCTGTTGCATTACTGCTTTTCTTCTAGTAAAGTTAAGAGAAGGGAAAGGACTTCTTAAGTTTATGTTACTGTTGAAAGTGGGGAAAACAGCACATCCCTATAGTCCCAGCTACTACAGAGGAGGATCCTTGAGCCTGGGGGTTGGAGGCTGCTGTGCCCTGTGATAGTGCCTGTTAGTAGCACTCCAGCCTGGGCAACATAGCAAGATCTTGATTCTTAAAAAAGAGACAGAAAAAAAAAAGAAAGTGGGAAAACAAAAGATAGAGTAAGTATCTCTTGAAAAATAGGAGGGGCCGGGTGCGGTGGCTCAAGCCTGTAATCCCAGCACTTTGGGAGGCCGAGATTGGCGGATCACGAGGTCAGGAGATCGAGACCATCCTGGCTAACACGGTGAAACCCCATCTCTACTAAGAAATACAAAAAACTAGCCGGGCGAGGTGGCCGGCGCCTGTAGTCCCAGCTACTCGGGAGGCTGAGGCCGGAGAATGGCGTGAACCTGGGAGGCGGAGCTTGCAGTGAGCTGAGATCCGGCCACTGCACTCCAGCCTGGGCGACAGAGCGAGACTCCGTCTCAAAAAAAAAAAAAAAAAAAAAAAAAGAAAAATAGGAGGAAGCACATTTCTTTTTTGTCATTGTTGTTGTTGTTGTTTGAGATAGGGTCTTTCTTTGACACCCAGGCTGGAGTGCAGTGGGGTGATCACGGCTCACTGTACTCTCGACTTCCAAGGCTCAAGTGATCATCCTACCTCAGCCTCCCAAAAAGTGTATTTCTTAATGAATATGAAGAATATTTCTATATTTTACTCACTTGCCTTCTCTGCTTAAGAGAGTTCTTTTTTTTAAAAGCTTATAAATAACACAAATTTATTTCTCACAGTTCGGGAGGTTGGAAGTCCGGCAGATTCAGAGTCTGGTGAGGGCCCATATCCCGGTTTGTAGATGGTATCTTCTTGCTGGGTCCTCACATGGTGGAAAGGCTGAGAGACTTCCAGTGATCCCTGCCTCCTGGGGTTTATGGCCTGTGTCAACCCCTCCCTTTGAAAGTGGGCTGGACCTAGTGACTTTATTCTACCCAATAGACTATGACTAAAGGTGATGGGATGCTCCTTTGTAATAATGTTACCAAAAATTATTACTTCCCTCTGCCAGCAGACTCTCTCTCTTGCCTTCTTGGTTGGCACACTGGGAAGAAGCAAGTTGCAGCGTTGGAGAGGCCCATGTGGCAAGGGACTGAGAGCAACCTCTGACCAACAGCCGGTAAGCAACCAGTGAGCAACTGAGGCCCTCAGTCCCACAGCACGTGAGGAACTGAGTCCTGCCAATGATCATGTGATATTGAAGGAGGGTCTTTCTCCAGCTGATCCTACAGATGAGACTCCAGCCCTTGTGCTGCCTCATGAGAGACCCTGGAGCAGACGCCCCAGCTGAACTATGCCTGGATCCCTACCCACAGAAACTGGAAGACAATAAGAGTGGTGTTTACATTTCTTTTATTCTCATAAAAATCATATAACATGAAATTTTTCCATTCTAACCATTAAAAACGTATTTTTTGTGTGTGTGAGACAGGGTTTCGTTCTGTCACCCAGGCTAGAGCGCAGTGGTGCAATCTCTACTCACTGCAACCTCTGCCTTTCAGGCTCAAGTGATCCTCCGACCTCAGCCTCCCAAGTAGCTGGGACTACAAGTGCGCAGTACCACGCCCAGCTAATTTTTGTTTGTATTTGTAGTAGATATGGGGTTTTGCCATGTTGCCTAGGCTGGTCTTGAACTCCTGGGCTCAAGCGATCCACCTTCAAAGTGCTGGGATTATAGGCATGAGCCACTGTGCCCAGCCTTATTTTTAAACTTAAAAAAAAAATTTTTTTATCAAGAGGGGTCTCAATATGTTGCCCAAGCTGGTCTCAAACTCCTGGCCTCAAGCCATGCTCCCAATTTGGCTTCCTAAAGTGCTGGGATTACAGGTGTGAGCCACCATGCCTGACCATTTCTTTTCTTTTCTTTTCTTTTCTTTTTTTTTTGAGATGGAGTCTCGCTCTGTCGCCCAGGCTGGAGTGCAGTGGCATGATCTCCACTCACTGCAAGCTCTGCCTCCCAGGTTCATGCCATTCTCCTGCCTCAGCCTCCCGAGTAGCTGCAACTACAGGTGCATCCACCACGCCCGGCTAATTTTTTGTATTTTTAGTAGAGATGGGGTTTCACCATGTTAGCCAGGATGGTCTCGATCTCCTGACCTCATGATCTGCCCGCCTTGGCCTCCCAAAGTACTGGGATTACAGGCGTGAGCCACCGTGCCCAGCCCATCCCTGGTCATTTCTAACCATTTCTTTTCTTTTCTTTTTGAGACGGCATCTCGCTCTGTCACCCAGGCTGGCGTGCAGTGGCACAATCTCAGCTCACTACAACCTCCGCCTCCCAGGTTCAAGCGATTCTCCTGCCTCAGCCTCCCGAGTAGCTGGGACTACAGGCGCATGCCACCGTGCCCGGCTAATTTTTTGTATTTTTAGTAGAGATGGGGTTTCACCATGTTAGCCAGGATGGTCTTGATCTCCTGACCTCGTGATCTGCTGCCTCGGCCTCCCAAAGTGTTGGGATTACAGGCATAAGCAACTGCGCCTGGCCCATTTCTAACCATTTCCAAGAGTACACTTTGGCCACCCATGGGGGCTCAGGCCTGTAATCCCAGCACTTTGGGAGGCCAAGGCAGACGGATTGCTTGAGCCCAGGAGTTCAAGACCAGACTGGGCAATATAGCAAAAGCTTGTTTCTACAAAAGTAAATACGAAAATCAGCTTCACATGGTGACACAAACCTATAGTCCCAGCTACTTGGGAGGCTGAGGTGGAAGGATCACTTAGGCCCGGAGGCAGAGGGTGCAGTGAGCCGAGATCATGCCACTGCACTCCAATCTGGGTGATCAGAGTGAACTTTGTCTCAAAAAAAAAAAAAGTACACTTCAGCAGCATTAGCTATGTTCACATTGTGGTATAAGAGATCTTCAGAACTTTTTCATCTTGCAAACTGAAAGTATATACTCATTGTTCAACAATTTCCATTTCCCTCCCTAAGTCCCTGGTAACCACCATTCTGCTGTTTCTTTGAGTGTGACTACTTTATATACTCAAATAAATGGAATCATACAGTATTTGTCTTTTTATGGCTGGCTTTTTTTTTTTTTTTTTTTTTTTTTTTTGAGACGGAGTCTGGCTCTGTCACCCAGGCTGGAGTGCAGTGGCGCGATCTCGGCTCACTGCAAGCTCCGCCTCCCCGGTTTACGCCATTCTCCTGCCTCAGCCTCCTGAGTAGCTGGGACTACAGGCGCCCGCCACCTCGCCCGGCTAGTTTTTTTGTATTTTTTAGTAGAGACGGGGTTTCACCGTGTTAGCCAGGATGGTCTCGATCTCCTGACCTCGTGATCCGCCCGTCTCGGCCTCCCAAAGTGCTGGGATTACAGGCTTGAGCCACCGCGCCCGGCCTTATGGCTGGCTTATTAACATAACATCCTCAAGGTTCATCCATATTGTAGTATGTGAATGATTTCCTTCAAGACTGAATAATATTTCATCATATGCCATATTTTTCTTATCTGTGTATCCTTCAATGGACACTTGTCTTGCTTCCACATTGTGGCTACTGTGAATAATATAACAATGAATGTGAGTATGCAAATATTCTCGTTGACATCCTGCTTTCCATTCTTTTGGGTATATATCCAGAAGTGGGATTGCTGCATTACATGATAATCCTATGTTTAATTTTTTGAGGAGCTGCCCTGCAATTTTCCAGAGCAGTTGTACCATTTTATATACCCTTCAACAGTGTAAAGGGAAGGCCAGGTGTGGTGGCTCACGCCTGTAATCCCAGCACTTTGGGAGGCTGAGGTGGGTGGATCACCTGAGGTCAGGAGTTTGAGACAAGCTTGGCCAACATGGTGAAACCCCATCTCTACTAAAATACAAAAAATTAGCCAGGCATGGTGGTGGGCACCTGTAATCCCAGCTACTCAGGAGGCTGAGGCATGAGAATCGCTTGAACCCAGGAGGTGGGTTGCAGTGAGCTGAGATCGTGCCTTTGCACTCCGGCCTGGGCAATAGAGTGAGACTCTGTCTCAAACGAAACAAAACAAAACAAAACAAAAAACAAAAAACAAAACAAAACAAAACAGTGTAAAGGGTTCCAATGTCTCTACATCCTCACTAACAATTGCTATCTTCTGTTTTTTTGGCAGTGACCATCCTAATGGGCATAAGGTAGCATCTCATTAAATGTGCGGGGATTTTTGTAGGGTCTATTTGTGTGTGTGTGTGTTTTTTTTTTTTGTTTTTTGTTTTTTGTTTTTTTTTTGAGGCAGGGTCTCTCTGTCTCCCAGGCTGGAGTGCAGTTGTACAATCATAGTTCACTGCAGTCTCTACCTCCTGGGCTCAAGCAGCCCTCCTGCCTCAGCTTCTTGAGTAGTTGGGACCATAGGCGTGCACCCCCCTGCCCAGCTAATTTTTTACATTTTTTCGTAGAGATGGGGTCTCACTATGTTGCCTGCTCTCAACTCCTGGGGTCAAGCGATTCTCCCTCTCATCTTGTCCCCACAAGCGCTGGGATTACAGGGATGAGCCACCACACTCAGCCCCAGCTTTCTCTTTCTGATGACTCCGGGGGAACTTTGTTTCACTTCTCTTGCTCAACCTTTCAGCAACATTTGAAACCAATGACCACACCCTTCTTGGAATTCACCAAAGGAAATGGTATGTTACTTATCTATTGCTACTTAAAAATGATCTCAAAACTTAGTTGCCTAAAACAACATATGGTTGGGCACATGGTTCATGCCTGTAATCCCAGCATTTTCAGGGGCCAGGGTGGGAGGATCAATTGAGCCCTGGAATTTGTGACCAGCCTGGGCAACATAGCAAGACCCCATCTCTACAAAAAATACAAAAATTAGCCGGGTATGGTGGTGTGCGCCTGTGATCCCAACTACTTGGGAGGCCGTGGTGGGAGGGTCACTTGAGCCTAGGAGCTGAGGTTGCAGTGAAACATGATTGAGTCACTGCCCTCTAGCCTGGGTGACAGATCCAGACCTTGTCTCAGTAAATAAATAAATAAGATAAAATACAAAAGAGAAGGCTGGGGACATTGGGCAGAGCAGATCCTAGTGGAGATGTGGGGATAGTGGCTGGCCTAGAAGAGGCAGAGACAGGGAGTGAGTAAGGGCTGCTCTTTTTAAGGAGCCATCCCTAGAATTTTTATAGGTTGTCTATATTCTTTCTTGTGAAGGAGAGAGAAATGAGGAGTAGAAGATAGTGAGAGAGAGGGTTTTGTTTTCTTTTTATTTTTATGATGGGAAAGAAACACCTCTGGCAAGGGCATGGACCACAACCCAGGCTGGATGGCTCCGGAGCTTGCACGTTACCCAGGATGCACTGTTGACTTCCCTAGTTCTGAAGCAAAATAACGACTAACATAAACCAGCAATATCCTGATATTTTTTCCTGATGGCTACTTTGAGTCTTTTTTGGGGAGTAAATATCAAATATTTAATTACTTCAAGTATTCTCCCTCCCTTCCTTGCTCTCTCGTCTTGGTTCCCCTGCTTCGCTGGGGTGCAAATACTTGTTTACTGTGTCTCTTGGGCAATCTAGCTCTGTGCCCTTCCTCCCGTACCCACTAACTCCTATTTAGGGCTCTTCCAGTCCCCAGTGACATGTTTTGCATGAGAAAACAGTCAACCAGTGGCTGCACTTCCTGGGGACTTCTAAGCTCAAGGCCCTTCCCAAATTGCTTCATAAACACCCTTCAGGGAGCTGATGGAATGGGATCGAAGTGGGCAGGCCTTGCACAACAAATGCACATTGCTTTATTCACACGAAGTGATTTGTGTACACTCCTGATGGAATGGCAGCGAAGTGGGCAGGCCTTGCACAACAAATGCACATTGCTTTATTCACACGAAGTGATTTGTGTACACTCCATGATATCAGGCAGATTTTAGCTATTATGGAAAAGCAGACTTGTTCCAGGAGATTTTGACTACAAAATGTATTGACCCAGGTACAACCCAATGTTTACTGTGTACGATGGTTTAAACAAGGAAGCGCTACTGAGGGGTTGGGGTGGGGGGCATAGGCCTGGAAGACCTTATCATAGACACTCCCTTTTGGTCTTTTGGACTGTCATTATTCTCAGTCTGCTGGTGGGTGGAGATGTTCCAAACCCTTCCTATTCATTGTCACCAGCTCCTGGTGAGTCACTAATAGCTATTCCACCACACCAGCCCTTCAGTCCTCCTGGAGGGTGGGGAGAGCTTGCAGACAGCTGCTTCTCCTACTCTACAGTGGCAGGAAAGCAGGTTCTTAGGAACCTTGAAGCTTTGCTGCAGCCTCTTCAGCTTACAGTCACACACTCAGAAGAGCAGGATGGTGTTAATTTCGTTGCTTCAGAACTTAGGATCCATAAGAAGCCGGGTAGGTAGAGTGCCCTCAGATCCCCACACCAGGGCTCTTTCAACTTTATCACATGAAAAGAAACTCAACCATTTGCACATAGATACTGATTAGACTTTACATGTCA